CCGCATGCGGCGGCTGCGGCGTGACTTAGTTTCGACGGACGCGCGCAACGAAGCGCACCCCCTAGCAACTAGTCTTCTATTACAAGGGATCGCATTTCTTCTTGACTTCAGGAAACAGTTGTAGGCTAATGAAGTGAGCAGGTGTATAGCATACTTCTAAGATGTTTCCATTTGATGTGAACTCCTTTTTTCGTTTTCTTTCACTTATTTCGCTTTGAGAATCAATCACCGACACCGGAAGGATAAAAGCTTATGTAGTTGGCCGAGGCGGATAATGTTTTGGGAGTGGAACTCTGACCACGGATGGCGATTATTCTACCAGTTGTCTCTACCATCTTCCCCTCACATGAAAGATGAGAACAGGAACTAAAAGATCTCTACCAGTGCTACTTTTTCATTTTCGAAGTACCTATCAGGGAAATGTCTGAGTGAGCGTAAGGGGTGAAATCCATGACGTAGAAAGGGCAATCTTAAGATTGTATCTAATTCACTATGTTTTAAATTCGCCGAACATAAGAAATTCTCCGTCCAGGCTTCACATTTTGAACAATTTTTAGTCTTTTCAACGCTAATCCGACTATACCCGGGCTAATATCGTATTACCTTCCATTTCCACCCATGGGTTTGCCGAACCTGAGCTAAGCGAAACTACACTTTCATTGTATAATCGGTATCACAAATCATGGAGTCCCAAATAGCATGACGTTGCGAGTAATTCCGAATCACTGTTGAAATCGGGCGTAAAGAAACAAGTTGTTGAATAGGTTACCCAGCTTATTGGTTCACAGTAGTGGCTAAAGCGCAAATTAAGATAAGGCGCCAGCTCAGCGGACATGCAGTGGTCCTTATTGTTGGGAACGATTCTGAGCCAGGAAAACGACTTTGAACAAGGGGATGAAGGTTTGACTTGAGTTTAAGGAGAAGTAGGAGGAGCACTGGAATTTCTCAGTAACAATAATAGAGAGAGCAAGTAGGGGTGACGAAACGAACGGTCCAGCTCCCCCTTCCCCAAACTGCATTTTCACTGTTTCTTCAATCAAGTTTACAGGAAAGATGCTTATGGATTTTGTTCTTGCTACAACTACCATTCAGTTGTCTCGGTGCCCGCACGAGAACGAATCAGGACTTTCCTCTTGAAGGCACAGTTCACGATAATTCTGAGATACCCTTTTTATTGAAAAAAAGCGGAATTATAGGTTGTGAATAGTTCATTGGTAGTGAGGAAAGCGAGAAAACTCGTCAACTTTGAGAAAAATAAGGCTCCTCATAGGTAGGGAAAGTAAAGGTTGGACGAGACTTCAGTTATTGCAATTGCACAATGAGCTGGCTACATCATAACTTCCCACATGGGTTCCCTTGTGATCTGTGCAGCCTGGATAATGCTGGTGAAACTCGTTCGAGGATACACACAGGCCAATCTTTGAGCCTTTATAGCTCCCTAACTAGGTCAGATATGGTATACGCGGTAACCTCAAAATCATCCTGTGGGGAACCTCCGAAACCATTTTTAACGTGAACTGTGCCTTTAATACAGTGCAGGGGCAGGGGAATCACTAAGGTCGTACTGGCAATTATCACGTACTAACATTCGGTAGAAGGGTACTATTCGTGGCCCTCATACTTCAAGCTGCTGATGGGCGAAAAGCGAAACGCTGCTGCAGCGTCGGCACCGACATCGATCGATAGATTCCACAGATCGACAGCACACACTAGGATTCAACGGCAACAGGGGAACTACCAAAAGTCGTAGGGTAACCGCATTTTCGTCGTTTTCTCTTCGTCCTCACAAAGTGATACCCAAACAAAAATGAACTGGAAAAGGTATGACGATTGACGTTGACGCCTTATGCCTGTCACCTTTAACGTATGAGTCAGCGCAAAGTATAGTGGCGGTTAGTGACTTGTACTCGAACGGATATTGGTGTAATCAAATTCCGTAGTACATTTCTAGTTATGTAAAATGTAGCTCAATTTTACAAACAATAACTTTGGACAACAATAACCTCGTCATTTGGGAAACAAAATATTAAATAGCAAGAAGTGAATTACATCAAAAGGCATGTGTTAGAAGGGAATTTAGTGCATTCGAATTCTGTGTAGGATAATCTTTATCGTATGCAAAGTGCGCATAGGCAGGCCAATACAGCAGCTGCACAACACGCGTTGGCCGCAGAGTCCTCTTCTCGATGACGACGACGATGGTGGTGGTGGCAGTCGTCGACACTGAATAACCAGAAATAAGCCTCTGAATCAATTGAGAACGATCTTAATCAGGTTAGAGCTAAATGACTGGTCAATGGGAAGACTGCCATGGGAATCTCTAGTCACATGCTTTGAACCCTGTCTTTTTTGGGAATGAGAAGGTCGTGGCAAGTTCGTTTCCCTATGGGCCGAGTTCCAATCCAAATCGCATGAGCGTTTATCTAAGCTACAGGACGAATAGAGGGAGGAAGCCCATTGTCATGTAAAAGAGTATTCCTATACTTCTAGACGCGTTCGATACCAAGTTATCCCTCTGAAGCTGTTTTAGGCGATTCTCCAACTAGGTGACTTCACCTCCACTTCAGAGCTACGATGGTTTCCACCTCCCCTCCTCCCAACCTCTGACTATAATCAAGAGTAGGTCTGATTGAACGTTTCAAATGGGTAGCCATGTTGGGCTGCAAATTCTTGCGACTAACATCACGGTTTGTGCTACCGTCAGCAAAATTTTGCGANTACCAAGTTATCCCTCTGAAGCTGTTTTAGGCGATTCTCCAACTAGGAGACTTCACCTCCACTTCAAAGCTATAAAGGATTTCAGCTCCCCTCCTTGCAACCTTTGACTATTATCAATAGTAAGTCTGATTGAAGGTTTCAGATGTGTAGCCATGTTGGGCTGCAAATTGTTGTGACTAACATCACGGTTTGTGCTACCGTCAGCAAAATTTTGCGATAAATTAGGAAGCAATTCAAAGCAAGTCCACCACTCGCCCTACAGTCCATACAAACACCTGTTCCTTATATGAATTTTTAGGTGAGTTAGTCAGTGGACCCTGCGGTACTCGGGTGTAATACTAGAAGAAAGCTGAAGAAGTTATCCGCTGGATTGCCCCGCATCAGTTTTCCGTAATCAATAGATATCTTCACCATTACTGACGGAAGAATTGGAATAGTGTAATCGCTGGTTAGCTAGTTGGTAACGCTGTTACTGAAGTGTTTACATTCTACAATTACTTGATTTCCAAGCTCAAAGAGCGCTCGGGGACCCACCGATCACCCCACATCCGTAATGGAGAAACGGAAACAAAAGAAACAACTCGAAGACTAACTCACATAACAGTTTGCGGTTGAGTTGTGTAGATTGTTGTTTGTGGATATGCCTGTGGATAGGTCGTGTAATGAACCTGGGCAGGATAGGCAGGCTGTGGCTGATATGGAGGGTATGCGGCTCCAGGATAGGGTGCTCCTTGTGGCTGTCCCGGCTGTACGTAAGCTTGTTGTTGTTGGGGCATCTAAAAATTCGCTGTAATTGTAAAGAAAAAGATGATGAAGAAGAAGAATTCGACACAAGAAATCCGTCGCTTTGACTGTAACTTTGACTTTCCTACTTGTTTATTTTCGCCCGGATAAGGAGGTGGAGCAGCTTCAACCATTCTCCTCTTCGTTTTAAGATAGGGAGTGCCTGCAAAAGAAAAAAAGCTCGTCAGTCACGATTCACAAGATCATCTTGCCGAGATTTCTCGTCACAAAGCTAATAATGGATACGAGATTATTCTCAAGGCACAAGGACCTGAAAGCTACTGTAACTACAGAAATCATTCAATAAACGAAGTGGAGCGGAAAGAGAGCAGTTGCTGGGCCAAAGAATAGCCTTATATGGTCGGCAATGACTGCTCGAGAAGATAAGCTGCGTTTTTATTTGCGGAGTTAGTCATTTCAAGCTGGTGGCGAACACGTCATTGGTAGATACCAGTTCCGATGAAGGGTGATAACAGAAATCACAAGAAAATGATAATTTTTGAGTTTTTGAAAATATCGATTTATCAGAAATGCGATGAAATTCACTGGAGTCTACTGGAATTACCGTAGCACATAATGTCATAGACCGAATCGAAGATATTAGATCAAGCGGAAGGTATCTGCCAAAAATTTCAAGAAAATTTCAGATTTTCCTCGGTAGTTTCTGCAAGCTATCACTGAAATATGACTATAAAAAGACATTACTCACTTGTATGCGCGCAACAAATCATTGGACTTCATGAAATCACAAGAGGCTGGCTCGATAGAGCTCTTTCTTCAACCTTTTTCGTTGAGGCTTTGGAGTTCTGGTACGAAAAGTGAACAGAACCGTTTGGAAGGAGATCCAGGGTCGATCAAGATTTCAGGGATTTTAGAAACACGGAAAAACTGGAAACCAGCTCTTCCAAATGGTATTACCGAGTAGTTCCGATTGCATCAAAGGGTTCATCATGGAATAGTATATCTCAGGTACATATGCTTCAGAGTTTTGTTCATATTTACCGTAATTCACCATCTTTAATGATGTGCCATTCATCGTTAGAGGCAGGAGAGGGGCTATAGAGAAAAAAAAGAGCACAATTTATGAAAATTTCCGATCACAGGTGAAAAAGTGCCAATATAGTAGTGGGCTTGGATTATAACCCTAATCAGTCCATCTAAAGCCGTCATCAGCTTTAAAAAAATTTTCACAAAAGGTACTAATGAGTCCTGCCCTACCTAGCGATCCATATTCTGAACTACGTGCCTCCTAACGTGAACCGAAAATCGTCCCATGCCTCGTAGCTACCCGGTAGGTCCCCCCTCGTTATTCTTTCATCCTACTACTACAGCGATCCCTCATGATTGGATTTCAGAAAAATACCATTTCCGCGATGAACAAACTATCGCCAACTATCAATGAAGTCATATCAATTCTTGAGAAAGTATTTTTCCCCTACTGGATCTTTACGATACTTTCCTATACCTTTCTGATATTCGTTCTCATTCATGCTCAAAGGAAAAAAGTTGCGATTCTGACAAGTTCGTTCTACAAACTCTGTATCACTACAGGATTCGTCGACATCGGTAGGATATACATGCTTTTATCAAAGACTCTATTTGTGGCTGGCGGTTATGGTGTATAAGAGCCATGTGACACACTATCACAGACACAGGGTTATGTGAGTGCCGGATCGATACACGCCCAGGTCAACTAAGCTTTCCATTATTTCGGGGTCGGTGAATTTACTACTACTGCTAGACTAGTCTTGTAGAATAAAAGCACAGCCTTGTGCAGCTGGCTGGTCACTGCAAGTCATTTAATTCACACACGCATTCACATGCCACTGAATTTTTGATGGAATCCGAACGTGTAGGGGCCTCGAGCAAGTGGGATTAGTTTACGTTGAAGCCTTTATCTTTCTTCCATTTTATGGCTAATTTCTTTACTTAAGTGGGAAGTTAAACAGTTATTTCCATGAACCTTTGTGGAAATATTGTTGAAAAAACTGTAAATCTCATCAATCCCAATTCCCATGCCGAAAGGCTTCTGTTGCGGGAGGGTTCCTGGGAATGTCGAAATGGGTTGCCTTTTGCTTCTTCTGAAAATAGCGAGGAGAGTTGAAGATCGCGACCGTACTGGATAATAATTCGAAAAGTGTGGCCCAGCAGCTTAGCCCATTTAATCAGACTTTGACCTAAAAATCACCCTCATTTGATCTTCGGGTAGGGTGGAATTAGAAGTGATGTTTTTCTTTACGTCGAACACCACGCTTTTTGTGGTACGCTCTTGAGTCTGACTTCCGTTCGGAATCGTAATACGGTTTGATTACGTATTTGGCTTGTACAATGGCAGCCGAGCAGTTTACTCCAAAATCCAGATCAGTCATGCTCCCAGACGAGTCGAGTACCAGTCAACCACCCCAAGCGAAGGCCAACCGCCATGGAGCAAACATTTATATGTATTTATATGGTGATTTGGAAAAATTCCAGAAAAAAAGAGCAGTTTGTTCTTACTCAGATCTTGACCAGAAAGTGTTCTAAAAAAATTGGTTCTATTCGAGTTTTCTGACGCTTTTTTAGTGATCAATCAAGCGGTTTCAGCATCTATACTAGCTTCAAATCGCCTTTGGTGTGGTCTATCCGCAACGATATGAAGAGGTTTGCTTCGATGGTTTCAACTCTCAAATCGTCTGCTAATAAAATTGCTCAAAAGCACAGTTCACGATAAAAACGGTTTCTGAGATTCCCCCACAGGAAAAGTTTGAGGACCATGCGTATACCATATCTGGCACTAACAGGTTGGAAAACGGCCTAGTTACGGAGTTATAAAGGCTGAAAGATTGCATCGTGTGTATCCTCGGACGAGTTCCACCGGCACTGTTTTGCCATACTCATGTTCCCAAACAGCGTATGCGAAACTCGAGCCTCTGGTGAGAAACCTGTCCCATCAACGGAGATGCACATGCTGCTCAATGCTCTGACTATTCCCAACTTTTGTCTAAATTTTAGTAGCCTGACACCTGGCGACTGCAGAAAACTATATGAATTTTCACAAGAATGGCGATTTGTGGGCAAAACCCCAGTCCCGGACGGGACTCGAACCCGTACTTGTCCCCGGAAAGGACAAGTACGGGTTCGAGTCCCGTCCGAGACTGGAGTTTTGCCCACAAATCGCCATTCTTGTGAGACTTTCGCTTCGCGTACTGCAGCGGTAAAACAGCAGTTAACAAAACATCAAGTCAAAACAAGTATATGAATTTTCATCCTTTGGGTGCAATCCTTTCCTGGATACAGGCCAGAAGACTCACACTTGCGACCGAGTCTTCCTAGCTGCCTAACGCCAAAATCCAACAAACCCATGGCTCAAAAATTGGGCCATGAAATTACGAGTTGTCTTTTTTGACATTCCTCCGTTCTCGGTGGCTGGTTCGCGCGGCATGCCAACATGCTTTCCGAGCCTTCTGCCTCCTAGCGGGCATTCTACGTCCTACAAGTTGAAGGCAGAGCTCACTATGATTTTGAGTACTCTTTTGTGAGTTGAAAAGGGAAGTGTTCAGCATCGGAGAAAGCGAGAAAATTCGCCGACTTCGGGGAAAATATGTCTCTTGAAAGCAGAGAGAATAGTGGTTGTATAAGAATTCCATGACAAACATGCCATGTAAGGGATGTTCAAACAAAATTTCAATTGTTGCAATTGCCAAAAGAGCTGAGTAGATAAAACTGTCTTTCACTGTCGCCGTGGGTCGTTGTTCGTGTTTCCTGCGTCGGGCTCCCTTGTGAATGGTGCAGTCTTTACAACGCCGTTGGACTCGTCCGCCAGTGGGTGTGACATACAGACGATACAACCTTTGTACCGTTATGACGGCCCGTCTAGACCGTTTTCTGATTCGACAGTGCCTGTATCACATCCCGGTGGGCTCCTGGTTCATCCTAATGGGATAGCTCAGAAGCTACTTCCATCTCAAATCATGCCCCTAAAGAGGTTACGAGGATGAAATATGGGGAGGGAGGTAAGAGAGTGTGGGGGTGGCGGGTGCGCTTCGTTGCGCGCGTCCGTCGAAACTAGGTCACGCCGCAGCCGCCGCATGCGGCGGGTCAGTCCGCGATCCTTGACAAACGTCGTAGTTGTCAGCGGGGCCTAGGAATTNCGCTTGGTCCACGGCAGTCAGCCAGAGAGAAAATAACACAGAGAAATGCGAATTATTCGCTCCACCGACACTTGGTGGTACTGTAATGTCGTCTCGAGACCTCAGTGTTGTGCCCCGCGCACGAAGTGGGTGGGCGGGTGACCTACTTTCGACGGACGCGCGCAACGGACGCTCCGGGGTGGCGGATGGTTGCGGCAGGGGTTTGGACTGATAAGGAGCGCGCACATCCCTTAGAAGCCCGTAGCGAGCGTTTTGTGGTCGTGGTCATCGTTCTGACCTCCCGCGCTTCGCAATCCTGGCAATTCGCCAACCAGAATTGTATTCTGCCCATTTGTATCACATCTCTGGTGATCCCGAGCCCGATGGGGGAGCCCAAAAGGGGAAGCAGAATTCTCCAAGATTGCAAAAGCAAAGCAGAAAATTGTTCCTCAATTCCCATAAAGCTTCAAACGAAAATCTAAGAAATGCGAATCCTCCTGGTCTGGTCTGTCATCAGTGTGTAAAACAAAATTATCGAATAAAAGTCAGTGTGGATTTTCCTCCCACGAATTGCAAGCAATACATAGCGTTTGTCTTTATAGCGTTGGAAAGTAGAGATTCCCATGGAAATAGCATAGCAAACTTGAGTAAATTAAATGAATTCGGAATGATTGTTGCAATTATGGGAACCATAGTTATTAGCCAGAATTCCGGAGAGAAGTCCAAGGGTAGCATGCGAAAGCACTTAGCTTCAAGAAGCGTCAAGAATCTCACATGCACCTCATCCGTATTCAGAAGCTTTATCCTTTATCATTGGGGCGGAGGTGGTGTAGTCATGGACGCATGGCTACGGGTTCGAATCCCCGATCGAAATCCACCCAGGCCAACCAAGCCTTCTATCCCTCCGAGGGCCGGTCAATTGGTACCAGACTTGTCTGGGAGGATAAAAGCACAGTCTTGTACATCGGCCGGCCACCACGAGTTATTGTATAGGCCACATACATACGCATTCAACAAGACACCAC